TTACTTTGGTAGCTTGTATTGTTAACCATTTAAGAATAAATGGTCAGTCATTTGTTGACTATAAAGAAGTAAATTCTTTGATATGATTTGTAGCTGCTATACAGTTAATTAAAATAACCTTGCCCCTAAATATGATGGCTCATATATTTAGACTTGTTTGTTCTGTGTGTCACAGTTCAGTGCTTATGATCAAATAGGAGATGTATATTTTTAGCTCATTTTATGATGATACTATATAAACAATAGTTACAAGTAGACCGTTTTATCCTTGTGTTTCTTATAGCTACTGCAGAAATTACATGTTAAGTTTAAGATTATCTTAAGATAAGACTACAACTCAGCAGCTCAAAGTTCAAAAGAGATAATTACCTTCAAGGACAGAAGCAGCTGAGTTTGTCATCCTTTGCTTTATAGCAGCAGTACTTCATTTATACTGATAAACAATTAGTCTGGTACTGCAAACTAGTAGTTTAATGCCAGCGTGGAGGCCTATCAGTAGTGCATAGTACTACTTTCATGCATCTGAGCTCAAGCCCCCAGTGCTGGGGATACCTTATATTGGAGTAGGGTACCCCTCTCCAAGAAAATAAAGAAAAATAACTTGAATTATGGCAGCAGGAGTATTACTTTTGTTAAACCAAATGGCCAGATTTATTACTGTACATTTCCTATTAGGTGAATAATGAACTGATCTATAAAATACAAGTATTTGAATTGAAATCAGTTACTTGGTTTATTTATTTATTTTTATTTATTCTCTGAAAATTACAGTGAATATTTAAGTTGTACAAATTCAACATATGTTCAGCTTTTCTTGAGAATATGAGTTTAATTTTAGATTGAGGTGTTTGAACAAGATACTGGGCTTTCGTAGGCTATCAAAAATATATTCAGGGATTATGCTGAAAATCTCAAATTCATGTCTCTCTCCTCTCCCCTCCCGGCAGTATTTCAAATGTTGGTATATATGCAATGTAGATGGTAAGAATAAATTGTCTCTTTTTTTTTATTTACATCACTTTGTGGTCATTTCATTTTGTTTTTTTCTTCCCCGTCTTCAAAAGTTCCATTTATCTGTGTAGGATGGTTACAATGAATGAGTACTATGTTTTTGTGACCCCCATCTTTTTATATGGGGAAAAGTGGTGATCCTAACTGAACCTGGTTGGAGTAGTGAATAATGTACTTTTTTTTTAAACCTTAGGTCTTTTAATACACCGTGTGCTGCTATCTTTTCAACTATTTGTAATTCTGTACAGTAATTTATGAAATACATAGTTAATATAATATATGGCACTTCATTGATTAAAAACTCCCCCCACCCATCTTATTAGGGTGATAGTTCAGACTAATACCTCAGAAAGGTGTCTATTAATCTTTCTTTTCCTCCTCTTATGCAGGTAGCTCCTCAGTTAGGGTAAAATCTAGGGTCATGAAAATCAGTGGCAAAATCTCTTGAACTTAAACAGAACAAAGAAGGGACATATAGTGTGATTTTTCCCCCCAATCTGTACTCCTGAGGGAATTCTACACCAAAAAAATAAAAATTCTATGCACAATATTTTAAAATTCTGCAAAATTCTGCGTATTTTATTTGTCAATAAATAAATGTGGAGGTTCCAGCATGGCAGAGGGGAGCACAGGCCATTGGCTGCATGAAGATGGGCTATCATCCTGCATTCCTTCTCCCCTCCCCTTGGGGACACAGACTTTTCGGTGAGGCTGCACCTGACCCTGGCATTGCAAGGGCCAGGGCATTGCCCCACTACACCAGCTGCACCAAAATAATGAGCAAGAGGGACAGTCTCGCACACACACCCAGCCCTGGCCCCTGATCCAGGTGTGGGGCAGGCAGGCTCAGCCCTGCAAGATCCAAGTGTGGAATGGCTTGGTGTGGGGTAAAAAGGTTCTGTGTGGGATAATCTGAGTGTGGGTGGCTTACTGGAAGGTCCTGGTGTGTGGGGGCATATGGATGCACATGGCCTTGGGGGTGGGTTCTGGGTGCAGGGGGAATGGGACTCTGTAGGGGGGTCCAGGTGAAGGTGGTTGGGGCTCAGCAGGGAGGGTTTGTGTGTGGGCAATATCGCGCTTGTTGGGGCATCTGGGTGTGGGGGGCTAAGCAGGGGAGAGTGGGGCTTGGTGAGGTGGGGGTCTGGGTGCAATTGGTTGAGGATTAGTGGGGTAAGAATCTGGGTTTGGGGGGCTCATTGGGGTGGTCTATGTGCAGGAGTGTGGGACTCATTGGGGTGGGGTTTGAGTGTGAGGGCTAAGTAAGGGATGGCCTGGGTGCAGGGTTGGGGGTCTGGATGCCCTGGCCCCAGCCCAGGCCGCAGCCCCGGCCGCTCCTTGCAAGGGAAGAGGAAGTCCGGTCCTCCCCGAGCCCAGACTAGCAGCTGAGCCCAGTGCAGGCTAGGAGCCACTGGCCAGGCCATCCCCATTCCCACTCCAAACACCTGAAACGATGCGCTGGCGCTGCTGGGGAGGGGCCCACGACTGTTCTTGCTCCTTTCCTTTGCTTCCCTTCCCTGACAGAAGTCATTTTTCTGCAGGGAAGCAAAAAATCCCCAGGGGACGTGCATTCTGCGTATGTGCAGTGGTGCAGAATTCCCCCGGGAGTACTACCTGGAGAATTTCTCTGTATGTGGTTTTCAACAAATAGGATAAAATGTTGCCATTTTCACAATTTCTATAAGACCTTTTCATACCAGTAAGCTAGTGACATGATTTTGTTTATATTTTATTGTGGCAGTGTGCCTTAAGTGGCATTTTATCCATTTTTAGAATTAGTTTTAAATCACATCGGCAGAATCAAGGTGTTTAATTACACCTGAATATTTTAGAATGCAAAAGTAAATAGGATTGATCTGACTTTCTTCAGCAATTTTGCTTGTACAAAATTGAAATTAACTTAAGAGATGGGAAGTGGATCTGGTTCTCAATAGCAATATTTTTAGATATATCTTCAGAACCAGGAAGTGCCCTAACTTCTGCTAAGAGGTTCTGAAAGGGCGAAATCTTCTCTCGAGACTGATAACAGTAATAGATAAAATAAAGAATGATGTGCTCAATGAGGTACAATTTAAATAGAGGAAATCTAATGGGAAATAGCTGCATTGGTAGCAGATGGATTTGCTTCCTGAATCTCAATCATATTGGAAATTCTAGACCAGTTAAAATTTGTCTTCCAGATTCTCAGTCTGATTTAAAAAAAAAAAAAGTGGAGAAAGCCATGTGTTTATTTGGCTACAGTGTTATGATTTTTGCTGATTTTTTTCACCTTTCTATTTTTGTTTTATTTTTTTTAACTAGGCTATTTTTATGATTCCCACGAATCCACCGCCAACATTCCGGAAACCAGAGCTCTGGTCTGATGAGTTTACTGATTTTGTGAAAAAATGTTTAGTGAAGAATCCTGAGCAGAGAGCTACTGCAACACAACTCCTACAGGTAGGGTTACCATATTTCAGCAAGCAAAAAAGAGGACGGGAGGAGCCCTGCCCCCGTCCTGCCCTAGTCCCACTCCTGCCCCTTCGACTGGCTCCCACTTCCCGCCCCCCTCAGAACCCTCAACCCTCCCCCTGCTCCTTGTCCCCTGCCTGCCCCCTCCTGAGACCCTCCCCCCATCCTAACTGGCCCCCTAGGACTCTACCTGTACCCTAACTGCCCCAACCCTTATCCACACCCCACCCCCAGACAGACCCCTGGGACTCCCACGCCCCATCCAACCACTCCCCACCCCTGACAGCCCCCCAACTCCCGA